TGCACAAAACACTGCTGGAAATAGGATTCACGCAGCTGCCGCACGATCTCGGGATGTATTGCCTACATTGCTGCAGTGATAATATCATGCTAATAGTTTACGTGGATGACCTACTCTACACAAGCACGAGCAACACGCTGCTTGACCTTGTTCGAGAAAAAATTGGCGATGCGCGTCGACATCACCATGAACTACGACGTGACGCAGTTCCTGGGGCTTAATATCTCAGCTTCTAAGTATGTTGAAACGCTTGGGAAGCGATTCACATTTCTCCCGCACTACTCTCAAATCCTTACCGCACGCTAGGACCAAACTACAAGACTGACAACAAAGCTTTGTCCTGCAGGCCAGATCTCTCCTACAGTGTGAGCCAGCTGGCTAAGTACTAATGCAAACCAAACGCTGAAAACTTCTGGATCTTCAACAGGCTCTGCAATTCTTCATCTCAACACCCAACATCCGACTGTCATATTCCACTCTCACAACTCCCTTGTTCAACCTCGTCGGCTACGTGGATGCCGATCACGCAGCAGATTCCGACAATCGACGGTCTAGAACCGGCTTCCTGTTCCGACTTGAGCCAACCGACCAATCTTGAGGTATTTCTAGAAGCAGGAATTGGTTGCCCTGTCATCTGCAGAAGCAGAATCCATCGCCGCAACAGCAGCGGTTTGCAAAGGGTTCTATCCACAAGAGCTCCTGCAGGAGGCAAAAATTTCAACCTCGTCGACCATTCTCAAGCTCTGCAACATTCAGAGTGCAATCAGGACCGCGAACAAACCAGGATTTGTCAATCGCACCAAACACACTGCGCTGTGATATTTATTCAAGGACGAACTTGACAAAGGCAAGGTCAACCTGATGTGACATGGCATCTAACTTCCTCACGAAGCGACTGCCCCATCAGCAGTATCAGAACCACGCGAACCTAAGTGGTGAGGTCAAGCGAGTCAAGACTTGCTACGGCCAGGAATGAAGGGGGGTGTTACGATAAATAAAATGAGAGTGCACTGCATTCCAGACTGCAACAAAATAAGCATGCACTAGCGAGTATGAATGAGAATGGCCAGAGTTACGAGAAACATTGCGTACATTTGAAAGGATCTGGATCGTCAGTGGCAGAAGCATCGGGTAGCCGCAACAGGTTTGTGACCGAATCCCACTTCACACGGTTGAGCTTCGCTGCAATAAGGGAATGTACCCCTTAGAGTACATGGCTAGCTAGGTCGTTACGTATTCCTTGTTTTTCTCCTATATAAACCAATGTATGTTTATGTTATAATCACTTCAGACATTTAAATTCTCTCTAATCTAAGGTCACTACTTCCGCTGCAATATCTCTGTGCGAACAATCTGAGGTGATCCTGGCTAAGGTCCCCCGTGGGATCGTAACATGGTATCAGAGCGACTCAGGGATTCTTCGCTCTGCCACCCCCAAAAAACTCGGCGAACTAAGGTGGCGTTCGGCATACGCTCACGCGTAAGGATGGCTGGAGGATCAGGAGGTCAAGAAAATCCTATAGCTGAAGCTCAACCCAATCCGGTTGCGACATCCGAGGCGTCGATGACGATAAGCTTCATCGCACTCGAACAACTTCTTCAGCGACGGTCAACTCTGGAGCAAGGGCTTCAGACTTTGCGGAATGGTGATGCGGGAACCTCCTCCCAGCGGCAGTTTGATCTTGGGTACAAACTCTGTCAGTAGAGAGAGATTTGAATCTCGAGAGAACTTACTATAGCGGTGCAATGTAGTGGTTTGTATAGGAATACAAGGAAATACGAAGAGTCCAAGCTAGTCACGTACTCTGAGGGGGTACATTCCCCTTAGGGCTAATCTAGATCAGGAAGGCCAGCAATGCGGTTCGGTAACTGCACGTGGCTCGACAAGCGTTTGAATTCCATTCCCATGTTTTGCTCTTCAAATCCTTCCTAATTTCAACCATCTTTGATAACTGTCTTTTTTCGCTTGGTCTTCATCCTCGCTGCTGTCATCTTCGCGTTAATGCTTGGTTACTTCAGGAGGGAAGACCATATTTACAACAATTCCATATCATAACACTCCCCTTCATTCCTGAAGGAGGGAAGTCTTGACACATTTGGTTATACCGCAGATGTTTGCAACGGTTTCTTGGTGAGATAGTCGGCTGCCGTGTGACCAGTGGGGCAGTAGGTCAAAATGACTTTGCCTCTGTCAATATTGTCTTTGACGAAGAAGCACCGGAGCATGATGTGCTTTGTGTGGTTCACAATTTTCATCGTGTTTTGATTGTCGCAGTGAAGTTTGAAGCTCCCGGATGTCGCAATTTTTGCCTCTTGGAGTAGTTCCTGGAGGTAAAGTCCTTCGCGAACAGCTGACGTAGCAGCGATGAATTCCACTTCGGCGGAGGAGAGCGTCATCATTCCCTGTTTCTGGGAGTTCCTGGATATTGGTCCTGTGGGCTTGAGGCGGAGTAGAAAGTCGGTCTGTGACCGTCATTTTGTTGGGTCAGCGGTGTGATCTGCGTCCACGTAGCCAACAAGGTTGAAAGGGCGAGTCATGAGAGTGGAGTAAGTGAGGTTAATGTGCGGTGTGGAGATGAAGTACTGTAGGGCCCACTGTAGGTCCAGCAGATTCTCCCCTTCAGGTTGCTTAGCGTACCGAGCGGAGGTCGGCCCTGCAGGTTACCGTGGCAAAGAGGAGGCATTCAAGCTGCTGTTGGTAGAGTACTTATTCAGTTGGGTTGAGGGGGGTGCTGTTGGGGACGTGGGGTGTTGCTGGTGTGTGGTAAGGTGTGGAGATGGATGCCAGCTTGATGTTGAATTCTGCTGACAGTGTGTCGGCGTACTTGGTGGCAGAGAGATAAATGGTGTCGGTTTAGTTGGATATGTTGAGTCCCAGAAACCGCTTGACGTTGTTGTTGCTCGTGATTTCCATGCGGTTACTGATATTTTTCTCTAATTGTTTGAGGAGATCATTGCTGCTGGCTGTGTATAGCAGGTCATCCACGTAAATGGTGAGTAGGATGTAGTCGATGCGGTAGTGGAGGTGGTACATGCCAAGGTCGTGAGGCAGTTGGAAGAAACTGATGCCGGTGAGGATTTGTTGGAGGTACTTTGGTGGAGGTGCTATTGCTAGAGGTGTGGTGCCTGTTCAATGCCGTAGAGAGAGATTTCTTAAGCTGACACACGCGGTCCTCTCCGTCGCCTTAAGTATGTTGCTGTTCCATGAAGATAAGGGCTCGACTTTTGTGTAGAGGAAGGCATTCTTTTAATCGATCTGGTGATGAGGAAGATGCTTGGCGGCCGTGAGGAGGATGCGGACAGATGTGCGGCGACTGACCGGGACAAACGTCTGGTCGAAGTCGAGTCCGTGGCGTTGGTCGAAGCCACGAACCATGCAACATGCTTTGAAATGTTCAATTGTTCCGCCGCCCACTGATTTGATATGACATACCCATTTTTTGGAGAGGACGCGCCTCCCCTTCAAGGCGATGCGGTTAGCAAGTACCCATGTTTCACCAGCTTCGAGTGATGCGACTTTTGCATCTATTGCTGCATGCCATTCCTTGCCGTGTGGTCCCGAGAGGGCTTGACGCGGGGTTTTGGGCTCGACGGCCTTGGGCGGATGTTTGACGAGCAGGAGGAGGAGTGGGAGTGAGGAAGAGGGGAAGGGGGGGAACTGGGGTACCTCGGTGGGGATAGCGTGCGTTGAAGGACACTGACCCGTCAAAGGTGACATCGCGGGAGTCGAAGAACCAGTGGGTGGAAAGGTGGTAAAACTGACATTCAGGGGCTTTAACTGGGAGCTGAGAGCTTATTTGTGCTAGGGTCGCGGACATGCGCAAGGAGAACTAGACATGAAACACAGACGCGACACCAGGGGACGTAGTCCAAAGACGGGTTGGTGAAGTCTCTGAGCGCTGTCAAACTATACTGAGTCTAGATGTTACAGTGAGTTAGCTTTTACAGGGCTCAAAGCTTTTACAGGGTTCAACCCATTAAGGGTTTCCTATTCGTATCCCATTCTTGCCTAGTTTTATCATCCATTCTCCCGTTGCTTGCTCGTTTTAGGGTTTCGTACGGTCGTCGCCCGCTAGCCGCCCGTTTGCCGTCCGTTCGCCCTTTGTTCGCCGCTAGATCACCGCCCATTGCTCGTAGCGCCCTACTGCGCCCCGCGTCCCCTATTCCTAGCATGCCATGTCCCCTATTGCACCCTGTCACCCTGCAACCCAGCGCGTCCCGTCGACTCGGGCGTCGTCCGTCGCTAGCTCCAGCTGTGAGGCAGAGGTGTATGCTGCGGCCATGGTCGCACATGAGCTTCTCTGGTTGTATTTCCTCCTTACCGACCTTGGTGAGCGGCCTCGCTCTCCCCCAGTCTTGTTCGCTGACAACGTGTCTTTGTGGTACATGTGGCCTGGGTTGGGAAGGCGAAGCACATCCAACTTCGTTACTTCCTTCTGCGGGAGTTGCAGCAGCATGACCAAGCCCGCATGGTACATGTGGCTTCTATGGCCAACACTATAGATGACTTCAAAAAGACTCTTCCGCCTTGTGACCACCACTGTTTCTGCACCCAGCTAGGCCTTGTACATGCAGGTTCTCTCTTACTTTCTTAGGGGTGCTTTGTCTTGTACTCTAGCATCTCTTTATATATATCTTCTTGTGGACTGGCCTTGTGGCCTCTTGCTTGCTCTCGGACTGTGTGGTGACTTTGTGATCCATCCTGAGATTTATTGCTTGTTCTTGCTTACTAGTCTTGTGGTCGTTGCTTGTTCTTGTTGACTGGACTTGTCACACTTGCTTTCTCTCAGACTGTGTGGTGAACTCGTAGTCCATCCGGAGATATGCGTTGCTTTCCACAGAAAGCCGTAGACTATGGGGGTTTGTCAAACTATATTTCTTATAATTCTGTATATGTCAGTCTAAGTGTTACATTTCACCTTAGGCTCAGTTAGGGTTTCCTATTTACTTCTGTTTTGCATGTTGTTCAGCCATCCATTCTCTCATTTACTTCTTGACACATGAGTGCAGCTCGTAGTCGTGTTGTTCTCCTGTTCACGTAGTGACCATGTTAACATGGTATAGAGCCTAGGAATTGATCCAATGGGCCCACCGCCCCATACCCCGCCCTAGGCCGTGGCGCCCCATCTCCCGTAGCCCCGTTGCCAGAAGCGCCCCGTCCCTCATAGCGCTGCGTAGCCCAAAGCGCCCCGTCACCTTCCCACCGCGTCCCCTCCCCATCGCCCCCCCATCGCGTTCCCATCCCCGTCGCATCTCCGTCGCGTCCCCTCCCCGTCCCTCCCCATCACGTCTTCACCCCGTTGCGTCCCCTCCCCATTGCCTCCTCGTCACGTCCCCTCCCCGTCGCCTCCCCGTCGCCTCTCCGTTGCATTCCGTTGCCTCCCCATCACGTCCCCTTCCCTTCACCTCCCCGTCATGTCCCCTCCCCGTAGCCTCCCCATCGTGTCCCCTCCCCGTTGCCTCCCCTTCCCCTCCCCGTCGTGTCCCCTCCCGTCGCCTCCCTGTCGCGTCCCCTCCCCGTTGCCACCCCTTCCCCTCCCCGTTGCCCCCCCATTCCCCTCCCCGCCACGTACCCCTCTCCGTCGCGTCCCTCCCTGTCGCCACCCCTTCCCCTCCTCATCGCCTCTCCTTCCCCTCCCCATCGTGCACCCCTCCCCGTTGCCTCCCTGTCTCGTCCTCTCCCCATCCCCTCCCCATCGCCTTCCCGTCGCGCCCCCCACCCCCCCCCAACCTTCTACCAGCCGCCCCACTTGCTACCACCAGCCCCACCTGCTACCAGCCGCCCCACTTGCTACCAGCCTCCCCATCCCCACTCTACCACCTTCCTGTCGCCTCCCCGTCCCCTCCATGTCCCCTCCCCATCCCAGCCTACTACCAGCCCCCTTGAACCGCGCTCAACCCCCCCCCCCCCTCCCGTTGAACCGCGCTCAACCCCCCAGTACCGCACTCAACCCCCCCTAAACAGTGCTCCACCCCATCCAGTCGCACATAACTGCGCTCAACCGCACTAGACCGCGTGGGTTTAGAAGGCCTCGTGACCACCAGCTAGAAGGCCCCGCGGCTTCCAGCTAGAAGGCCCCACGGCCTCCAGCTTGTAGGCCACGCGGCCTCCAACTAGTACGCCCTCTGGCCCCCAATAAGAAGGCCCCGCGCCCCCCCCTCTAGCTAGATAGCCCTGCCCCCCATTCCCCCACCCCCACCCCCCCCAGCTATAAGGCTCCATGGCCCACAGCTATAAGGCCTCACGGCTACCCATACCTGCTACCTGCACCCGTACCCCTACCCCGTCTCTAGTTCCTGCCATGGCGTCTACTAGAATTCTGCAGCAGCAGGACCAACCGCAGCGACAGCAGCTGCAGCAGTCCCGCCAGTGGGGACCTGAGGGTCCAAAGAGTGCTGGTCCCAGCAGCGTCTCAGCTAGCAACGGGCGCGACGTCAGTCTCTGTGGGTAACGGATCCTGACTGGCCCAGGTGCTGTCACTACCTACTGGTGTCCTGACAAGTCTGCGTCCCGCTGCTACCATCGCCTCGATAACCTCCATCGTGAGCGTTTTGGATCTGACGCGATTCCACCACACTGGCCTTCGTGTTTTTGCCAGGGTACTGCTGGCCCAGTTGAGTCACGCATTCCTCGTCTAGGACCAATCCCACCTGCACGAATAGGGACTCGTATTTCCAGTCTTGGTGCGTATGTAGTTTCTAACATAAATGCCTGTAAGGGTCTTCGTGTGAGAGCTACAGCTACTGCTCGCCTAGTACCAACCTTTGTTGCTGACTCGGCTACGACCTCAGCGACTGTGCCGCTTTCATTCACCATCGACTCTGAGGCATCCATTCGTTCCTTTTGCGACCTCATGCCACTACGCACCCCAGTCACTATCGCCTTAGCTAACCCCTCAGTGGGACCTAGCGTTTCCCACAGCACCACCACTCTCCTGTGTCTAGCGACTCCCTCTACGGTTCTCACAGGTTAATATACCCTCTCGTTCTCCAGGAACCTGGTGGGTGTCAGTCACCTTCACAACCTCGGTGTACTCACCACTTTCCCGACGGACGAGCATGTTGCCACCTGCATAGTGGGTGCCACTTGGGTGCCTCTGGCCACTTTTCAGAGGGAGCGAGGCTCTGGTCAGTACTCACTACACACTGGGTCCCACCACACTGGGTCAGGTCAGGTCATATATTTGCTGTATCGTATGACTGTCGGTCACTCACCCACCCGTTAGTCCTCTGGCACCACCGTCTAGGTCACCCGTTCTTCCCGCGTCTTAGTAGAATGGTACGTCACCGCCTGGTCTCAGTTCTCCCCAGGTCCCTTGGCCCACTTCCCCACTCGCCTGCACCGCCGTGCACTCCTTGCGTCGAGGGGCGGCAGTGCGCTGCCCCTCACTCCTCCTCGTTCCCTCCCGCCATGGCTCCCATATAGACCTGTCACTTGGACGTTGGGGCCCCTCCTCGGTCCTTGGCCCACGTCAGGAGCGCTTCTTCCTGCTCCAGTTTTACCTCATTCATGTGTCCATCGCCTGTGCACATTGCAACCATGTGCAGTGAAGTGTGTCAAGTGTTACGCGATTCGTGCAAAGGCTTGTACGATAGCACCAACATGCGTCAGCGGCAAGTGAGGTAGTGCCGGGGTTGAGGCAGATGGAACAAGGCAATTCCTACTTTGGAACCTATTCCAGTGGCGTCTGTGTCAGCAGCTTTGCCACCTCCTACTACAGGAAAAGCAGCATGAATCACTCAGGATACCTGCGGGTTATGAAGATCCAAGCATAAATATTACCATCAGCCGGGAAGTTTATACAACTACTGAGGAGGATTACCTAGATGCAAGCTTACAGTTATGGGATTTTTTGGCTTCACAGTCCAGCTCTTGTTCCTTCAACAATGGTGCCTGTGGCTCATTCATCTGCCAAGTTAAAGAGGGGAAGAACAGCTCAAGTTGCATCAACTCACGTGGTGAGCATCAAGTCACTTTAAGCCTCAGTCTCTGTTCTTCCACATCCTTGGTCTCACCAACCCCAACTTGGCCCCTGGAACAAATCTTGGGTATGCTCCAGCACCCGAGCTCAGTATGCTTCCCATCTTTGCTCGATCGATACCAGCGAATGCTGCACTGGGATGGGTGCGCCACCTTAGACAATGCAACCACGAAAAGGAGGCTTCCCGGCCCTTCATATCATTGAATCTCGTATTTCATAATCCCTCGCTCGCCAACCATGCGAGACTTGAGTTCCATCACTTCTGTCTTAAGGCGCGAAACTTTTCCCCCTTTTGATGCGAGCAGTGATAAGAGCGCATCATCATCTCCCTGTAACTTACGATTTTCATTTTTAACACAGCTTAGACGAAGAGGCTCTCTACAAACCATGATTTGATAACACTAGCTTGATTTTGCAGGTCAGTAGACTTGAGCGGAATATCCGTCCACTTGTGTTCCGAGCGATCGCTAGACCTTCGGAGCAAAACTCTGCCAACCTGAGAAACAATGGTTAGGCTTTACCAATGCTGCATTTGAAAGCCATCCCGCTTGCTTTTATGGTGGTCACAATCTCCAAGATTGAACCAACATCATCCCGCTGGCTGCCATCCAGCAGAGTATGAAGCTTTTCCAAACGAGTCTTCACTTCTTACATTTCTAACATATTCAGCCTTCCGTCAGTGTCCTGTGAGTTACGTGATGTATTCAGTCAAGCAGCAACAATGGCGGATTGTTTTCAGCCAATAATTCTTACGTCATAATCCCTACAAACAACCTTGGTTCCCTGGACCAATACATTAGGCTTGATGTCAAACTTCTTCACAATATCCTTCACTGTCGATTTCCTTGGTTGTAGAGCATCCAAGAGTAAGTCCATATGTACGACAGTAAACGAGGATCACCCACTACATTCCGCACCTCCTCATTCTCCACAGCCTTTAGAACATTCTCGTCGGGAGTCATCACGGCGGAACGGCACAACTGCCAGCTCGTAGATATTGGAGTTGGCTTGTCCTTAGGATGGCAGCAACCGAATATCCTAGGTTGCTTGAAAGCTCAAAACATTATGCAGTGGAATAAAAACCTGATGTACAAGGATTGGAAGGCGGAGAATGAGGCGAAGATAGGCGTGCGGTTTGGGGAGGTGAAGAGTTCCAGCTTGGAGCATGTGGAGCTGCCTTTGGAGCTGAGCAGCGGCAGCACAACCACAAGGCAATCCTCCGTTGTGAATGGGGGAGAGGAGGCCAAGGATGCAGAGGAAGAAGAGGAGGAGGTGCAGCAAGTGAGCGAGCGTGCACCGACACTTCCCTCTCGCACTACGAGTGCTCCACAGATCCGCGTCACACCGCAGCAACGCCAATGCCTTCAACTCCCTGCAGCTGAGGAGGAAGGAAGGGGCAAGAGGAGAGTTCAAGCCCCAAATAGGCTGACCTATGATGCACCGGGAAAGCAGGGCAAGTCAGCGCTGGCCGGAGCGGCAATGTTGGTTGGAGATGACGAGGAAAGCGACTACGAGGAGTGTGCCTTCGTGTTCTTCTCTCCGGTGGAGATGCCAGGAGAACCAGCAACTCTCAAGGAGGCCTTGGAGAGTAGTGATGCTGAGGAGTGGAAGATGGCCATGGAGAGCGATCTGAAGAGTATTGCGGAGAACAACACATGGGAATTGGTGGAGCTACCGGAGGGGCGTAAAGCGATTACGTCCAAGTGGCACTTCAAGATTAAGTCGGACACCGACGGCAAGATCGAGCGCTACAAGTCTAGGCTTGTAGCCAAGGGGTACCAGCAGAAGGAGAAAGTGGACTTCAAGGAGCTGTTTGCTCCTGTGGTGAAGTCGACAACACTGCGGATCCTAATCGCGGGAGCCACCATCAAAGGATGGGTGGTGAAACAAATGGACGTGACAACCGCGTTCCTCAACGGCATTCTCGAAGACAATATTTTCTTGGCGCAGCCAGAGGTGTTTGATGATGGTAGTGGCAGAGTTTTGAAGCTGAAGAAGGCCCTCTTTGGGCTGAAGCAGGCTCCTAGGCAATGGTACATGAAGTTGCGAGAAGTTTTGGAGGAGATCGGCTTCACTCCCTCAAAGGCCGATCACTCCTTGTTCATGCTTGGCGAGGGGGAGCAGAGGAGTTTCATGGTGGTGTACGTGGATGTCATCCACATCTTCTCACCCTCCTCTGACCTTGTAAAGGAGGTGATACTGAAGCTTCATGACAAGTTCAAGTGCAAGGCACTTGGCGACATGAACTTCTACCTCGGGCTCCACATCGAACGCGATGTGGAGAAGCGGTGCATGCGGGTGAACCAACGGAAGTACCTGAAGGCGCCTCGCGCCTTAACCTGCTCGCGCCTCTGCCCTGCTCGCGCGCCGCGCCGCCACGCGCCCTACCTAGCCAGTGCGCCCTACCTGAGCGCCGCGCCCTGCCCTGCCGTGCGCACCATGCCCTACTGCTGTAGTGCGCTAGCGCACTTCCTGCTGCACTGCTGCTAGCGTGCTGCTCTGCTACTAGCGTGCCCGACTGCACTGCCTGCTATGGCGACTCTCAACATTCTCACATTCGATTCGGAGGGCCACCCCATAGAGTTCGCTGCATGGCTAGACGATTTACACCTTTTCCTCCTGACAGACTCTAAGGACGGTACCTCGCTGTTCGTCCTCACTTCTGGCGCCTCGCCCGCCCCTGACGCCACAGCTGACTATGCGACCCGCTCACAGTGGCTTACCCGTGACACTGCTGCTCGCCTAGCCATTCGCAATCACCTGCCGTTAGCCGAGCGCACCCACTTTGGCTAGCATAAGACAGCAAAAGCACTGTACGACGCTGTAGTCGCTCGTTACTCCTCCCCGCCCACTGCTGCTCTAGGCCGCCTTCTCCTGCCCTACCTGTTCCCAGACCTGTCCGCCT